AGTGGGAAATTTAGACATGTTCGTTTCAAAATTAATTGTGTTACCATGATCAAGTCGTTAATATTTTTATAAAAATTTTTTGTTTTTTTTAATATACTTAAAAGACAGGTTTTATAGATAGCAAATAACACAGTTTTATAAATAAATTTTGGTATGTCTTGGGAATGTGAAATCAGGCAACAGAGCTCTGGCCCAGAAGCCCAAATGCTGCTCTTGGTCGAATCGTTCTAAACAAACTTTGGTAGATTTGCCTTATTAATGCCTATGAATGCTTTTAACTTTGGGGAGAATGTCGCATCTGAGGGTAGAGAAAATTACAGGCTTGGAAAAAAGTACAGGCTTTTAGAGCCCAAAGAAAAAGTAGTAATATGTATTGCTATGTGTAACATTTCAAATGAACTGTTTTTCCTCCCTTTAAGTTTACAGAATGGAAGCCATTGTTTGGCTAGATGTGACTTCCTATGCACCATTGATGCCTAATGAATATTTATTGAATAAAATGGACTTAATGAAAGATTAGATATAGGTCAAGCTTCTCTCATGTTCTATTCTGTCTGTCTTAAGTTCTGTTCTATTCTGTCTTTAGCATAATAGTGCCCATAAGTGAGGTTGTGGATACTTTTGCATTCATCTTATTATTGTGTGACACATGTATAACAAATGTGGAATGGTGCAGCATTTTATTCCATTTGATTTAAAACAATTAAAACTTTTTTGTGAGTTTTGTGTCTGTACATGTATGTGGAGGCCAGAGGAATCTTTCTCTATTGCTGTTAGTTTTTGAGACAAAGTCTCTCTTTGACCCTGGAGCTCACTGGCCATCCAGTTTTGCTAAGTCAGTGAGCTCTAGGGATATGCCTGTCTCTGACTTCCTATCACTAAAATTACAGGTACATGCAACCATGCTTGGCTTTTTATGTAGGTGTTGGGGATCTGATTTCAGATCCTTATGATTGTACAACAAACACTTCAACAACTGAGCCACCTCTCTAGCCTCTTAAAACAATTATCTTGAAAAAATAACAAACAAACAAACAAACAAACAAACAAAAAACCTTTCTTCCTCTGAAGGAGAACCAGCTAGTTGATGTGGAGTTCACATATGTGTGCATGGCATTCTTTTCTCAAATTATTCTCTCAAGTATTAACTATAGTTGTGTACTGGCTGGTTTTATGTGTCAGCTGGACACAAGCTAGAGTCATCAGAGAGGAAGGAGCCTCAGTTGAGGAAATGCCTCCATTGTGACCGAGCTGTAAGGTATTTTCTCAATTAGTGATCAATGGGAGAGGACAGCTGGGTGGTGCTCTCCCTGGGCTGGTGGTCCTGGGTTCTGTAAAAAGCAGCTGAGGAAGCCATGGGAAGCAAGTCAGTAAGCAGTACCACTCCATGGCTTCGGCATCAGCTCCTGCCTCTGGAATACTGTTCTATTTGAGTTCCTGTTCTGACTTCCTTCAGTGTGGAACTGCAATGCTGAAGTGTAAGCCAAATAAACCCTTTCCTTCCTGGTTTGCTTTTGGTTATGGTGTTTTGTCGCAGCAATAGAAACCCTAAGACAAGTTGACAGAAAAGTAAAGAGGTGAAGTGATTTTTGTGTTGAAGACATGTAGGAACTTGGATGTCTGGTGTGGTTTCAATGTGTATGTGGACATCTATAGTGTGATGGCCATAGACATGATATGGTGTGCGTGTGCGTGTGCGTGTGCGTGTGCGTGTGTGTGTGTGTGTGTGTGTGTGTGTGTGTGTGTG